GATAAAGTGATTATTAGAAAAGTTGAATACATTAGGTACTAAGAGTTTCTTTTTTGTTGGTAAAAAATAGAATCATGAAATATTTCTTTACTTTTGACGAAATTCATTTCCTCGAAGAAGTGATGATTGTTACTTCGTTATTTTGATGAAATATTTGTTCGAAGCATATACCAGGAAACGGTTTGTGAAAAACGAAGGCATTGTCGTGAAATTTGAGTATCCATTTCCTAATGTGCATGAGCAGCCATTAAAGTTATCAGGATAATTCTAAATACGAGATGTAATATTAACCGTCTTTTCGTCCTCACTACTTATTTCCTAAATTTATTTTGAGAGTAGTCCTGCTTCATATATTGACCTTTTTAAAAACTTCTTCAAAACCGTCTTCACGTCTGTCAAGTCTTGAAAATATTTCCCATTTTTGATGTTCTCAAAGCATTTTTGTATATTTTTGAAGAAGTTTTCAAAAGGTAATATCTTACCACTTCATTTTCTCGGGATTATTTTATTTAAGCTTAATGTAGTTATTTATGCTACACATATTTACACGTCCCGCAGTGGACTGATCGTTAAGACACTGTTCCCAGCAGATCACGGAAGTCAAGCATCACTGGCTACGGTCAGTGTGCGGGTGGTTGACCACTTGGATCAGTCTGCGTAGGGACCGAGGGTGTGCGGTATTGATCCTCGTTAAACTGTGCTACTGTAAAGTGCTCGACTTCGCGCGCAGGTCGTTGGCCTATCGAAGGGGGGGGGTCCCATCCCCTCCGCAGAGGATCAAAATTGTGATGGCATGTCTGCGGATCATCCGCCGGGATGCTTCCCAGACCGTCGCCAATAGCCCATTGTGCAGCTCTAGTGCGACGTAAATTAACAACAACAACAACAACATATTTACACCAGACGTAAAAAATTTTATCAGAATAACTTCCCTAGGAATGTGTGAAAAGTAGAATTCTCTTAAATCAGTCTCGCAACTTGTATAAGTTTCAAAGCACCTAAGCAAAATATTTTTTCCAAAATTTAAAAAAAAAAAAAACAAGTTATTACATTTCAGATTTAATTACATGTTTTAAAACTTTCAATTTTATGATAAANCGTATATATATAATACTTGATATAAACACCAAAATACTTGTATATGCAGATATAAAGTCTATCATGGAGAAAGTATAAAATTCTGGAAATTATTATTGCTTGAAAAAAGAGCACGAATAATTGAGTAATTTCAATGAATGCTAAAATAGGCTTTAAATAGGGATGTTTCTTAAAAGCAATATGTGTTTTCTTATTTAAGATAATTTTCAGCTATTTTTAACAATATAAATGCTTTATCAAAAAATAATTTTATTTATTTTTTTAGCTGTATATGGAAATAAATATTTCAAAAAGTGTTTGCACCTTTGTTCTAGGGCATGCTAGTAAGTAGTAAATATTATTTTACTTGTCATTATAAATTTTCGTTCTTATGAAATAATTAATATCATAAAAATAGTGCATTTGAAATAAAATGAAAGGTCACTATTACCAGTCTCAAGTCTTTGGCGTAAGGATAAAAGAAAAAAAAAATAAATAAAAATAAAAAACGTATCGGACTTAAAATTTCTGTAAACATATAAACTAAAATTATCTGTGCTTATAAGGAATTAATAAAAGACATATAATTGCTTATAAGAGGGCAAACGAGACAATCATTAATGAACGGTATAGTTAACTTTTCAAGTGTTATAATAATTATTCATCGGTAAGTTTTACATTTATCAACTTACATTTACCTATTGATGTGGCTCAGTAAGATTCGAGGTACTAAGGCTCTGTTGTAGAAAATAAGCTTTTTATACTTAGGCCAGTAACATATATGGGAGATATTCTTTACTCTTTCAGTTAAAATAGTTAGTAAAAATAATTAACAGAAAATAAACTAATGTGAATTTTCTTTTAAAAAAAAAAGGAGTTCCATTGAGTGAATTTATAAATCTCTGAGAAGCTCAGTCCCTTTCTTCCCCCCTCATTCATCACTGCTTTTTTTTTTCATTTTAAAAGTCAAAATTCTTTTCGAAAAAAGAGATTACTTCATTAATAAAATATAAGTATGATAATTTCATGTAAGGACATTTTATTAATATGATATTCATAGCGAAATGGACAATTACCTGTATTTGTAAAACAATAAACTTTAATTAAAACTTAAACCTAGGGATAAATGAGATATAATAATGATAAATGAGAAGAAATAAATCGTTAACCATATATAAATACAACCTTACATCATTGAAACAGTTCAAATTGTAAACAGCTTCCATCTCACTGAAATTAATATTTTTTCTTTATATTTTTAAAAATTTCTATATAAGAGTTAGGATTTACAACTGGCAACATTTCACCTCTCATTCTGTTTTTTTGTCACATTTGACTTCAATTGAAGCACGAGCTTATAAAATAAAGAGTTAGAGAGCGATAGATTTTGCTGCAATAATCATTAAATAGTCATTATTTATAGCAGAGAAAAAAATGCGGGAAAATTTGCGAAAAGAGAGCTTAAAAAATTGTATTATCTTTAGAACAAACTGAAATTTTGAAAAACTCGTGTTAAGTTCATAAGCAAAAGTGCCTTATTCAGCATGTCATTTCTCAACTCCGTAACTATTTTTCGGTGGGCTGCAGATCCACCCTCATGGTAATTTTTACTGTAAGTTTAGCTGTTAAAATTCTCGTACTAATTATAAAATGTTAAAATTTCACATTGTATTCTCGCTCTCTGTATACATTTCTACCACTATTTGTACTAAGTCTTTCAGTTCGGTGTTACGCGATAAAACAGAATGTATGTTTAAGTATAGCAAAAAAAAAAAAAAAAAAAAAAAAGCATTTAAAATTGTTATAACTTTTAAACAAGTTAAAATTTCGAAAAAAAGTAACTCTTATTGCTTCTTTAGACGCGGGTAGAGTAAAAAGTGAAAATTGCAGAAAGTCACGTACTTGTCGGGCTTCAAAAAGAAGGGTTGAGTTACGGCTTTTATGATAAAACATTATGCATATTCCTCACCATTTAATTTTTATGTTTCAAAAATTAATGCATATGAATAAACATAATTTAATGTATAATTTTATTTTTCAATTTAAAGCCGCGAAGATATTTTGATTGATGTGGAAGAACATGCGTCATTGTTGGCAAGAGTGAGTATTCTTAGATATTGAAGACGCGCTAATTGTTTTCCTTTTTAAAAATATTCGATTTATATTATCATTATAATTTTTTAAAATTTTAACATGACCGAAAAAACATTCAAGACTGAGAAAATTTAATCCTTTATATAATGATTGTTCCAAAATCACAAAAAATTTGTATTTTTATAATTCGTGATAGAAATGAAATTAAACAAAAAACACACTTTCGGAGACTTGTTAATATTTAAGTGAAGAAGAAAAGAAAAACGTTATCAGAACTTAACGAGTCATTAAAGATGTATGCGAAATTAAAAACACCAAACCCTGTTTGATTGAAGTTCAAAAGAAGTTTAAAGACAATTATCAGAAATACTTTCGAATTTCATCTCGCAAACAAATGAGATGCTTTTATCTCTGGAATTCAATAACGTTTTTGTTTCACGTTAGCTTAAATATTAATGCGAGACCATCAGCCATTTGACGTAGAATCATTCTTACACTTATTTTTCATACTTTTTTTTCATTATATTCTATTATTTTAGGTTAAAATATGTGAAAAATATCATATTTAGCATTTTAATAAGTTATGGTTATGAAATACTGCATGAAACTCCGTTAAAAGTAAAATTTTCCTAACAACGGCTCACTTAAAAACAATAATTTTCACATTTGCACTTAGTCGGAGCTATTTAGATCTAAGAAAAACACTTATTCATCATTAAATTTCTTTAATTTACGAAATCAATTGTTGATAATTTTTTGAATATGAATGAAATTTTTTTTTGGATTTTATAGTTTAGTACAAATATAATTTTAGTAATCTTAACAGATTTTTTTTATTTACTATTAGACTGTTTTTCATCATTAAAAATACTAAAATATATTTTTCCTTGGAATTAAAGCGTCAGAAAAAAATATATAATAGTAAAGCGGTGTCCCATCTGCGCCAAAGCGCTTTTTTCCAGTTTTGGTTGGGATTTTAGAAGTATTGATCAAAGATGGTAAAAACGGAACAATGCAAGTTATTCAGTGCTTCACGCAATGATAAACTAAAATTGCATTAATCGAATGTTTAATGCTGAAAACTTGCTTTTTGCAGAAGAATTTTTTATGATATTAGTAACAAAATTTAAGCTTTGATTCCTTCGTTAATTAATTTTATTTAAAACTATTTTGCTACATGTGACTAGACCTGAAAATTTAAGTTTTCAGTTAGCAGTCAATGGCCGTTAGATTTTAATAACTTAGTACCCTATTTTCCCCTTAAACTTAATGAGTAGGTGACTGATATTTAGAGGTCCTTTTCATTTAATACCCAACTTTTTCAAACCTTTTTCTGCTTTGACCTTTTTTTTTAATATAATTTAAATTGTATTAAAAAAAAATGCATTAGAAATATTATACGTCTATAAAAAGTTTTTTCAACAATAAAAATAATATAAGTATTCGAAAAAATTAGTTAAACATACTGACTTCAAAGAGGTTTATTTAAAAAATATTTGCGTAGACAAAATAATTTAATGTATACATTACATCTTTGAAATATGTGAATTCTTTTTCCACACAAATTTTAAAATCAGAAATTGATGGATTCTGATAGATCAACATTTTGAATGGAGACATTGGATATTTTAAGGAAAATTCTGTTTTCCAGAGTCGCTTTAGCATTGATTTATTTTTATCATTAAACAATTTTTTAAAAAAGCAGTGTGAAAAAAATGACCGGTTGTTTATTTAATTTACGTCGCCACTTTTTTTTGTTTTTCTCGGCATGTGGTTAGTGGTAATTTTCTGGTCTACCTATGACTTATTGATTCAATTATCTACCAGCTATCATTACTCTAGAGACATTTTTAAGTGCGGCTGAAATTAAAAAAGAAAAAGATCCGCTTATTTTAATGCTTTTGAGTTCGAAAAATCTTCCACAAAAAGTAGTGCTGCCATAAACATAAATGAAGATGTTAATACTTTCATCTCACAAAACAATTTTAAATAAATTGCAATCTTTTAAAACAAAATTGTATAATTTAGATTTTTCAAATTGATTTTGTAAAAGAAAAGTAAGTGTGTTGCATTCGACTCTCTTCAATGGAATTGTTGAGCAGTTTCAATTCAATTCGTTGATGTCAAATTATTTTTATGTACCATGAAAAAAACAATAAACAATGCAGCAAAAATTTTGTATTTGTAAATAATACTTTAACTTTTCTTATCTGAAAAATGTCTAGTGTTTTTGAAAAAATATACAGTTATAGATTAATAAAATCATTCTTTTTTAGGAGAACAAAGATGAGGCCGATGAGTAAGCTAATTAATTTTTATAATTTTCTTTGTAAATTTTTAATGAACGGTAAAAATGAAATAAAAAAGGTAGTTGGCTCATACTGGAGCTGCGGGATAATGTTGACATCGAAAAAGTATATACATTAGGGATAGCAAATTAATACTTAAAGCAGGAAAAAAATAAATAAAAAGACTGATCAAAAGAAGATATCAAAATTTAACCAAGTCAATACTGATTAATGCGGGAATGAAGACATAAAACTTGTTTGATTGCTGAATAAAACTTGAAAAATAATAATTAAAAACAGTATAAGATATCAATCCAACGGGCTTTGATGTATTCATTCACTCAGACATTCGACGCAGATTTTTTTGTTTCGATAAAAACGTGCGATCTCAAACTTGCATACTTTTCATTTTATTTTTAATAAGGATTCTAATAGAGCACATTCTTTCCAATTATCTATATCTCTGTACTTAACGCCGATAATTATTATTTGGGATCAAGCAAGAAAGTGATAAACCCTTAAAATCCGATACATATTTCTCGAAATTTAAGCATTTTAGTGATTGACGCACTTTAATTCATTGGTATTTTAATTATATGCTGAATATTATTAACTTGCATTCAATGTTTTTCGAATGACTGAATTAATGTGGTATTATTTCGGATTAAATAAACTCTAGAGTATTCATCTTAACATCTCCTCATTCTTACCTCAGTTATCATCCTTTTTAGACATACTTCCTAAGCCTTTTTCTTTAACCTTGAATTTATCGTAGTATAGCCTTATTTAATAATTCAAAACCAATTGGAAAAGTCTGTGATTTGATTTTATTTTTAAAAAAATCATATATTAGTTAGAGAAAAAGATTGACATCATGCATTTACATTTCAGGTGCATTTCTGTTTTGACAATAGCATTCAGCAGAATGGAAGTAAAAACTTTCAGATATTCCGCGAAGTATCAGGTAATGTGCAGCATTTTTATTTTAAACCGAAATTTGGTGTCAATTAACAGGAGAGTATAAAGCAAGTCGATACTTATCAAAATAGAAAATTCGGTTCGATGTATAATGATTCATCCGCTCTATCTATAATATCTCACCATAAAATAAATGAGTATATAGTCAATGTAGATTGAGTTTGTTATAAACAATTTATAGGGCAAATCTCATAATCCAGAGAGAGCAGTTCAATATAATATTCTTCTGATAGATTGTAAAGCTATAAAGTGGAAAATTCATATAGTGTGGTTTAATAACAGAAGTCTTATAAATCTTGACCTTCTTTTCCTATTAGTGACAAAGCTGATTCCTTGGGGTATTCAACCGCTTTTCCTTCGAGGTTAATATCTTCCTTACCTGTACTATGCATGATTCTTTATCGCCTTACGAGATCATCGCCAACAAAACCAATTATTTTTATTTTTTGAAATGCCGGATGCTATTTAGGCAAAGTATGTCATAGATGGCAACGTTACTTTTAAAAAGTAACGAGTAAAAGTACAAGTATTTTTAAAAAAAGTAACGATTATAACCAAAGCGTTGCATATTTTAAAAAGTAACGAGTAAAAAGTACAAGTAAAAGTACNTAATTTATTCGTGGATATAATTACATTTATTCGATATTTTAATACTTACTGACGATAGATTAGAACAAACATCAGTGTTTGGAGTATCGGGCAAATATATACCGGGCAATGGCACTTGACCTTAAAGAAACATCAGTGTAGGGTATACCGGGCAAATGTATACCGGGCAGTGGCACTTGATCTTAAAAAAACATCAGGGTAGGGTATACCGGACAGTGGCACTTGATCTTAAAAAAACATCAGGGTAGGGTATAGCGGGCAAATGTATACCGGGCAATGGCACTTGACCTTAAAACATCAGTGTAGGGTATACCGAGCAATGACACTTAAACAGACCTAATATGACTAGACCTTTGGTAAATGTCCGAAATATATACTTGGTCTAGTGCCACTTTTGCTATAGCCTAAATATTAAAAAAAATTAAACAAAGCGTTTGAATCAATTTTAAACTGATAACGAAATTATTGCTTTAAAATTAAAAAAATAATAATAAAAACTGCGCCAGATAAGAGTAATTGAAGTAGTTGCTTTATACAGCACATGTGCGGAAAAAAATTTAAAAAAAAATTAGCCACGTGCATCTAAAAGTGGATGAATATCCCAAGACACCCATCTGCATATAGACATTGGAACAGACTTCATTCTTCCAGGAAATTTCCTATCATTGAATGATATAACGTCTATAAATGACTTGTTCTTTAAACATCTCTCTAAGAAAAGAAGCACAGAAATGCCTTGAAAAAGAAACCAAGGAAGTGAAAGTATACTTTTTTAATGGAGTCTATCACTACAAATTATCGAAGCGTGTCAGTAATTCGTATGACTGCTGTAGATCAGCCCTGAAATTGAAAAGTTTAAACTTTGTTTCAATATAATTATAAATAAAATTTTACGTAATAATTGTTTAAAATTTGATTGGCGTTAAAATAGACATTTGAACATTATAATTGCAATTTTGTAGTTACTACCCAATAATGTTCTAATTTGCGGATACCTAGGGCTGGGATAGCTTGGTAGGTAGGGCACTGAGCCCATGTTCAGGAGGCTGTGGGTTCGATCCATCCCCGCAGGCCGAAGACTCCCCGTGTAGTAAATGGTGACTGTTAGACGTTAAATCTGTCGGGTCACAAAGTCCTCCTTGTTCCTATAACAAATTATAGCTCTGGGAGTACTGATCCAGGAGTTTTCTTGTCCTCTGGATTGAGCTGAAAATGACAAGGCTACTGAGTTGAACATTAGCAATGGTAAACCACAAAATTGGGTCGACTGTTCAACGACGGATAAAAAAAAATTATGGATTCTTAAATAATCGAATTTCTTCTAGCAAAATGACTTTATAAAGTTCATCAGCAGCTGTGAATATACTTACCAAAGAAAGACTACTAATTATTTAAAAATATTTTAATCATTTTAGCAATAATAGTCTTAAAATTAGGTTTTATGTCCGACAACTTAGTTCATAGGCCCTGAACGTCTTTAGAGTTTGTACGTGACGTAAAATTTGGTTTTATGTCAGACAAATAAATTCACAGACTGTGAGTGGTTATGGAATCTGTTCTTGGTGTATGCACAAGCTGAAAACGAATAAAATATACAAAAATTTGATTTTTGAAAAATAACTAATAAATAATTGTTGATCGCATAAGAAACTTGAATGATAGGTTTCAGTGAGAAATCTCTAGGAAATTGTTGACGAAACACAGTAAGCAAAATTTCGACTTATAATGAAATTTATAACGAAGAACTAAAATTCAAATTCGAAATAATTTTCATAAAGATTTTTCTATAATAATTTAATATTTTAATTTAGAGAGATTCTTGCTCTTGATGCTTGCTGCACAGAGATTTTATGTTAGTTTCCAATTTGGTTAGCTTCAGCTTCAAGTCTCCCCACTGTGTTATATCCAGGCGATTTTCTTTTTTTTACCAGTAAATCATTTACAGCACTAAATCCACATTCAGCTAAATATGAAGATGGAATCGGTAACAANTGTTAGTTTCCAATTTGGTTAGCTTCAGCTTCAAGTCTCCCCACTGTGCTATATCCAGGCGATTTCCTTTTTTTACCAGTAAATCATTTACAGCACTAAATCCACATTCGACTAAATAAGAAGATGGAAACGGTAACAATAGTTTTCATGCATATTTGGTTGAATTTGGGTATTTGATTTCTGTTTCCTCACAAAGCCATGCCATCACTCCTTTTATATAAAATAAAGTTTTATCTGACATTTTGCATTTCTGAGAGTTCTTCTTGATACTGCATATTTCATGTACCAGACAAATGCACTAACATTGGCTGCATCATCCGTGTTGAAAAATCAATTTGTTTTAAATCAGAAAATCTTTCTCTTAAATCAGCCGATAGAATTTTCAGATGATTGGCAATAAGCGGTATCATTTACTAATATTAAGTAAAGCGGTATCATTTACTTTTAATTTTTGGGGACAATTAAACTGATCCAAGTTTTTGTTTTCTGACTTAACTCAATAAGGGTAATGAAACCAAATATCTTCGTTTTTGTATCAATAAGAGTTTTATTTGTTCCTTGAAGTTGCTTATTTAATATATTTAGTTTTTCAGAGATATCGGCTAAATAACTCACAAATGCTTTACCATCGACTGTTAACAGATACTTAATATCAGGTTTGTCGCTTAAAAAATCACTAAGAGTATCAAACAGTTCCATGAATCTTTTCAAGCAGTTCCCTTTAGAGAGCCATCTTACTTCAGAGTGAAGTAAAAGTCTCACATGGTCTGCATTTTGTTCTTCACAAAACAGCTTGAAGAGGAGCTCGCATTTGGCATTAGCTTTAATAGCATCGATACACTTTATTACTGAATGTAATTACTTCATTTGGAACAGGCGAGATGTTTTTAGCTACCAAGTTTTCCCTATGCACAACTTTTCCCTATGCAATAACACAATACACAAGAATCATTTCTGGATTCTCATCTTTCATCAATTTTAAGTAGCAATTTTTCTTGCCCATCATATTAGGAGCACCATCTGCAGCACAAGATGTTATATTTTTCATTGGCATATTATAGACATCTAAGTTTTTTTTTAGCTTATTATATAATATCTTTGGTGGTAGTGGTGCTTTCTAATCTTTTACAGAACAACATTTCTTCAACAAAATGCTCCTTATCAATATATTTTACGTAAGTTATCAATACTGCCACACTGTCTATCAAAGTTGATTCATCCATTTGCACTGAGAATTTTCTTGTTTTTAGCTTGTCAGCAAGTTATTTTTCAATATCTTCACTCATTTCGTCTATTCTTCTGTTAACAGTATTGTTATTGAGTGGCATAGCTTTTACATCTTTTTCAAGAACCGTTTTAAGAAATGCTGATAATGACGGTTTTATTTAATTCTCTCCTATAGTATGATTTCTTCCAAATTTAGCAATGAATAAAGAAATTTCATAACTAGCCTCAAGAATACAATTATGAGTTGAAGTGTGAGCAGTAAATAAAGACTTTACTGTTGCATTGCAGGCATAAAAGACATACTATGGTATTGATTTCTGTCACTGAATGTTGCGAAACACTACAGAAGTTGCGACGGGTTATTCAGATGCGAACAACTGCATTGTTTAGCGAAATTTTAAAGCATCAAGGGGTGCAGCCTGCCATATGCCGCAGGGAGGTTAGTTAACTACCAAAAACTCAGTTCACATTTTGGTCTCATCAAACGAATTTATAATATTTATTGGCCGCAATTATTTAAGAAATTCGCTTTTTTTCTTTCAATTTTGGGACCGAAATCTAGCATTGTATTTAAATGGCCCGGAGCAAATAGGTAAAACTCTTGTCGAGTCCATTTTCGAATTGCCCCCCTTAACAATCAAATCGCCCCCCAGTGGGGCGTGGGCCACACGTTGGGAAACACTGAACTAAAGCATTAGGCAAATTAGGGATTAACAATTGCATATAAATATAATTAATGATTTCAGAAACCATTATATGAGTTTAAAGAAAGTCCTTACTTTCGGATTCCCAGTGATCTTTCTACGGAATCCAAGGGTTCCATGGAACAACTTTTAGGAACCATTCCATTAGATGAAAACTTTTTAAAAATGAAATAATAATTTTCAAATTATTTATAAACATGTGTCAAGCATCTTAAATGAGATAGAAGTAAATAAAGTAAAAAATGTTTAAGAAAATCAAATAAAACAGTGAGTTAAGTTATCGAAAAAAAAAAATGCAAATACGAATTTTTATAAAAACTATAGCTATTACCAGTTGCATAAATGGTAAAATTCGAAATCTTAAATTGCTTTGCAAATTTGATTAAAATTATTACAATGAGTATCATCAATAATTGAAGCCTTACTTCGTTAGTTACACTTAAGGCTAGAAAAAAACATAGAATTTCATGTGTGTGTTGTTAAATTATCAAAATCTTGCAACAAAAAAAAATATCGACTATCGTCACAGACAAGGTGGAAAGAAATATGGTATGGCTTGAACTACGGAATACGTGCTAATAATTATAGTACTGTACTCTTGAGTGAACAAAACACTACATGACAGAATCTTATCAAAGAGGAAACTATTGAATATAAAGTTACTGTAAAATTTTTGACTTTTTGTGTGCTAATTTAAGAGATAACAGTAAGATGCAATTTTTTTTCGATTAGTGCATTTCTCATGATATTTGTCATTTTCAAATCTTGATATGTTCCCTGAATGCTGCACGCGAGAGCAGTCGCGCACTAACTTACGACACCACAAACAATTTCTCTTTTAATTGGATACATAGAAGCATTGTGGGTATGGATCCTCATGGGTTGCTGATTTTATTTATGTTAGCAACTGTTCTTTCCATTATATTTAGAGTAAGCCTAGACCGTCAAATGCGAACTCTCTGAAGTGACACATTCTATATTCTTTCACAAAGAAATATTTGATTTATTTCTTATTTAACACAAACATAGGCACGAAGCCATGCAGAACGTAAACTAATTATGCAACAAAGTTGCCAGATACGCAAAACAAAATAATCACTGTTATAATAAAATACATAAACAAATAATTAATCTAGGTGAAATAAAAGATGCAGTTGAAAAAGAATTATACTTTAACAGATTCGATTTGTGATACTTAATAAACTTTGAATTAATTAGCATTTTAACTTATGTGGATAAACTTAGCTCGACTTTAGCCAGCAATATCCATTATATTAAATATGCCATCTTGTTTATAAGTAGTCAGCTGCTGCTGAGATCATAAGTTAGGTGGTTGTGTAACAGAGTTTGTATCCTATTGTAATATTAATAGTTCAATATTATGACGATTTTAAACACAAAAATTTTGAAAAGACGCATAGTAACGTTATTTAAAATATTTGTTTAAAATATAGTGCGTTTAGTTAGTTATAGTTAGTAAAAATTAAAAATATAAATTAAGTTTTTCAAATGTTGAGATTATAAAATCTAAATCTCTCGACTATTAAATTTCAAAATAAACCAATCAATAAGTTTACGATTCATAAAATACTCACAAAAAATTTGATTCAAATGGCTTACATTATTTAATTTCAATTCTTTATGCTTGCTTTGAGAGAAAGCACAAGGACAATATACTCTATTAGTATTCTATTTTTGATTTTCTTAAAACTTTTTATTTTTTGTAACTTTAATTTTTTTAGTTTTTCTTCTTAAAAAAATATTTTAGGGAGCATTACTCATTTCTAAAGAAAAGCACTTTTTGTAACAGAAAAATCAGGATTTATTTTTTTAAATTAATATTAAAACAAATAAAATCTTGGCATTTTAATTGACCTGCTTTCATATTAGCCCTTTATTTTAATTTCTTTTCAGGGAATCGAAATGTTTGGCAATATTGGCGGTATTTTGGGAGTTTGGCTTGGTATTTCTCTTATGGCGATAACCGATGTCTTTGAAACATGCTACGTTGTTTTTCGTCACTTTAGAAAAAGGATCCATCGAAAGAAGATAAAGAAGGAATTAATCAAGGCAGAAAAGCTATTTCAAGATTGTTATCATTGTGATTCGAAAGGGAATTTTACATTAAAGATTTATTAATGGGAAATTTCTAGTATTTATTGAGTATATTTATAATCCATTCTAAATTTCATTAAAAAGTTCAGTTATAATAAAATTTGATGCTTAGCATAAATTTCATGACCATTTCCCTCTGTTGATTAGTGAAAATTTTGTCATAGAAGTGATTAGCCTACATCCACACTATTTCTACTTCAGTTCATTTCGCCCAATAATGTTTCTTTGGAAATCTTTGCATTTCAATGCAAATATTTGTAAAATGTAATGAAGACGTCTATTATTTTTTCCCATCGAATCCTGCCGTAACACTGAATGTACTTTCGTGTTGTCCTTCTCTGAATTGTATTATCTATCTTTCTGCTCGGAAAAGGCTTACAAGCCATACTTATGTAATCAACTACAGAAGCTTGTACAACAAATAGCTTGTACAACAGCTTGTACACAGCAAATAGAAGCTTGTACAACAAATAAATAAACAAATAAAATTTGGTGCGGATCGGTTCTGAATTGCAGATTGATATAAGGTACATTCACACATACGTATAGACATCCTGATTTATTTAAATATGTAAATAATTGCATAATTATAAATGATGCATTAATTAAATCAATTAACAATAATCTCACAGAAGTTTAATGTTCTGATAAGTTTAAAATATAAAAAAAATTAAGTATTTAAATTTAATTCAAATTTTTAAAAAAATCCCCAGTTGATGCAATATTTATATATAAAATTTAGAGCAATAGAAAATCTTAAGGGGCCTCACGAATGTTAAGTTTTACGTAAAAGAAAAATAATCAATGATTTTTTTGACAGCTTACTGTTAGCTAAGTAATAGTATTAGAATATCAATTTCTTTAAGATATGCATAAATATGTTTAAGAGTAAGAAACATATTCATATTTTTGAAAATTTCTCATAATTAATTATTAGAAAATTCACTGGAAAATTAATTAGAAATTAATGATTAGAAAATCCGTGTAATATTAGCTATCAGAGCAAAACTAAAGAAGAAAACAAATTTAGTTTTTTGTATAAATTTTCAAGAATGCTGAAAATATTGGTATAAGACAGGGCATCCGGATGGCATTTAATTGATTTCTNAAAATTTGATGCTTAGAATAAATTTCATGACCATTTCCCTCTGCTGATTAGCGAAAATTTTGTCATAGAACTGATTAGCCTACATCCACACTATTTCTACTTCAGTTCATTTCCCCCAATAATGTTTCTTTGGAAATCTTTGCATTTCAATGCAAATATTTGTAAAATGTAATGTAGACATCCATTATTTTTTCCCATCGAATCCTGCCGTAACACTGAATGTACTTTCGTGCTGTCCTTCTCTGAATTGTATTATCTATCTTTCTGCTCGGAAAAGGCTTACTAGCCATACTTATGTAATCAACTACAGAAGCTTGCATAGTATGCGTACAATAAATAAATAAACAAATAAAATTTAGTGCTGATCAGTTCTGAATTGCAGATTGATAAAAGGTACATTGACACATACGAGTAGACATCCTGATTTATTTATATACATAGATAATTGTATAATTATAAATGATGTATTAATTAAATCAATTAACAATAATCTCATAGGAGTTTAATGTTCTGATAAGTTTAAAATATAAAAAACATTAAGTATTTAAATTTAATTCAAATTTTTAAAAAAAATCCCCAGTTGATAAAGCAATATTTATATATAAAATTTAGAACAATAGAAAATCTTAAGGGGCCTACGAATGTTAAGTTTTACGTAAAAGAAAAATAATCAATGACTTTTTTTACAGGTTACTGTTAGCTAAGAAATAGTATTAGAATATCAATTTCTTAAAGATATGTATAAATATGTTTAAGAGTAAGAAACATATTTATATTTTTGAAAATTTCTCATAATTAATTATTAGAAAATTTACTGGAAAATTAATTAGAAATTAATGATTAGAAAATCCGTGTAATATTAGCTATCAAAGCAAAACTAAAGAAGAAAACAAATTTAGTTTTTTGTATAAATTTTCAAGAATGCTGAAAATATTGGTATGAGACAGGACATACGGATGACATTTAATTGATTTCTTATTCTAAATCGAAAGAATATATTATCGCCATCTATCTGGCGATATGTATTTAGAATATATATCGCTAGAAATATTATCTTAAAGAAATGTAAAAATGTGGTGGATAAAACAATTCCAAAACATGACAAAAATATCCATTATGAACAAAAATATTCTCAAATGTGTAAAATTAGCGATACTACATAATTAAAGGGGTCTCCACTCCCTGTTCACTAGCCCACAGACCGTTTCGCTCGCTTATTGGACACTAGTGTGCTTTATATGAATAGTGGCACTATATTTTAAAGTTTAAAAAATACTAAAAAATACATAGAGTGAAACTTTCGATTGACATGCATTTTGATACTACTTCATTATTTCGGCAGAAAGCCTATTACCTGTATTAGGCACCGATAACCACACTATTTCTTACTACAATAAACTAAAGCGTCAATGATAGTTTGAGAATTCTTATACTGCACCCCGAAACGGAACAGTACCCACATTTGAATCGTAAAATGCATAAAAACCAATAAAAAAAAGGTAAGAAATGAAGAAAAAAAAATGAAAGCAATAATTTTAATTTAAGTTTCAATGAAGTTTTAATAATGGAAGCAGTAACAATTCCACACGGTAGGCAGAAAAGTGGGTTCATCAGAAAATTTATTTTGATTACTTTAGAGAAATTATCTGATGGCGCTGCAGTTGGATGTTTTTAAATTTTTATTTTATCTCTCTGTCTAACTATGCTTTCAATTAGAAATATCTGCTTCGCAATAAGAAAATAATAGTAAAATACTTAGCATGATTTCTTTTTTTCTTTTTTTTTTGTTTACCAGGCATTATAAGACCATTTCTTTAGTTCCAAATTCTTTACTAGTAGAAATGTTTTTTTCCCTGTCTTTTGTTTAATGGAAAGATTTTAACATCATAGATATTGACGAATTGCTTTTAGGAATCATTATAAAGAAAAAAGGGAATAATAGACAGAAAATGGGGGGAAAGACTAAAATCAGTATCATTACCAGAAAATAAGACAAGAGCAAAAATCAATTTTTCTCTTTTAGACCTTTCTGCCACAAGTAATACAAAACGTTTTCTTCTTTTATTTATCACTTTTATGTTCATTAGCAAATTTCCCTAGATTTGCTTAGCTTTGGGGACTCAGTGCATCTATTCTCAGGTAAGGAAAACTTCGAATTATTTCTGTTCATCTGATTAAAAATATATAATTAGTCTATTTCTAGGTGAGCAAATTTCTAAGTTATTTAAATGAAAAATATAGGGTTAAACTACTTCTAGGTAGGAAAGCTTCTAATTATTTCTGCTCGTTTAAATAAAGGTACACAGTTTGAAGTTATAGAGCTGGGTTGTTTAGTACTTCATGTTTTTTAGAGTGGAGAATAATCTTTGAAAGCAATTATTACGTTTTGTTTTTTATGCAATAATTTTTTTTCTTCTTAAATGGTCGTACATATCTCTTTCACTTGAAGCTCGAGTAGAATACCGCTGGAATCATATAGTTGGACGTAATCAGGTGGTTAATATTGGCCATTGCAATTATTAGGCTTGATCTGTTATCACGCTCAATCAATTGTCGAATAAGATTTAATCAGATACCTGCAAGAGACGTCATGCACGTGTGTCAAACCTGACAGGCTGCTGAATCATGGCATAAACAAATGACACGATTAACCCGTACGCATCGCCGCTTGCAGGTATCCAACTATGACCATTTTTGTTAGCAGATCTTGATTTGTTAAAAGGCATAACAGGCCTGATCATAGAGTCTCCCAATTTCAAGCTCTTCTTCAAATTCAAATATGAATTTAAGAGTAGCTTTTAAGTAGAATACAAAAATAATTAAACAAAATAATACCACAGATGCATTTTCAGTTTTTTAGTTAACTAACTTCTAAGAATAAACTATTGTGAGTTTCAAAAAATAAATATATTAAAACTAAAAAATAAAAATTGAGAATTTCCGCATTTTTTTCCTGAGAAATGCAAGAGATCATTTGGTGCCCCTGAAGTCGTAAGAACTGAAAATTAGAGATAATTTGGGTAGTACCAAACTATGACTTACAAAAGATTTAATAAGAACAATCCATTACGAGCGTCTAACCTTAGCAAAAATAAAGTAGCGTAGCAAATTGAATTAATTTTTAGTTGTTTTAAAAATAATTAAATATTTAATTTACTTAAAAATTCTACTTATTGAATAAATATACTTGCATAGGTAAAAATTGATCATGAAATTTTGGCTAAGATTCAAGAGAATTTTGAAGAATTCTGTTATTACTGGAATACCGCAGATTGTAGTCACTAAAAACGTCATCAGAAAAGTTATCAAATTAATGGTCTTCACTGGTTGTCTATTTGGATTCTTTTGGCAAACTACATCGTTTCTCGAAGTCTACTGGACCTATCCAACTGTAGTTGATGTTCAATACACATTTCCCTATGAATTCGAATTGCCTGCTTTGACAATATGCAGCTATAATGGGTGAGTATTGCTATAGAAAAGATATATTTTTGTCGTTACGTTAATTTCTATCATTTGGCTTAAAGGTGGTAACATTAAAACCAAATCCGCTACTTATAGTTTTCCTTAATGTATTTAAAATAAATAGCTTGAAATAAAATGATTACAAAAAATCTGTTAATCTAACTTCGATTGCGTTAAGACTACACCGTACCACGTGAGAAATTTTTTGTCACAAATTCTCTTTCAACTTCGTAACTAATTTGAAATTTAAAGTATGGAAAACGGGAGTTCAGGCAGACCTAGAGTAAGCCATTTAGTTTTAAATATTGAAAAGAAAATTTTAAAATATTAAAAGGAAAATAAATTATGAGAAGACAACTTAGAATTACGCAATGGAGAGAATCTCTCCCAATAATTTGTTTGCATTTTGACATTTAAAATTTTTTTCAGCAATTGAATCTTTAAGGATTTCCCTGAAC